GAACAGTTATTATTTAAAACGAGGCAGTGTACAAATGCCATCCACTGTATTCTAGTAAGTGGAATACTAGTGGCTGAGTCCAATTTCTGAGCTAAGAGCATTATTTGTTGCTGACTTTGTGATGCTTTAGTAGGAGCTATGTGGAAGCATCCCAGGTCATGTTCACAGAGCCAGGAACGGTGCCATCCAGTGAAATATGACTAAGCAGCTCAGATTTGCTTGCTCTGTCACACTATATAATGACATTTCCTCCAAAGTTCAGGGGTTAACAGAGGCAGCATGCTCAGCTGTGAGAATTAGAGAATGTGATTCAAGATGGGTTAATTTAAGATTTTATCCAACAAGAACAATAAGAACAAAGGAGAGATGGAATGTTCCTAAAATACTTGGAATCTTTTTTTTTTCTTTAAGATTGGCCCTGAGCTAACATCTGCTGCCAATCTTCCTCCTTTTTTTCCCCTTTTTTCTCCCCAAAGCCCCAGTAGATAGTTGTATGTCATAGTTGCACATCCTTCTAGTTGCTGTATGTGGGACGCTGCCTCAGCATGGCTTGATGAGCGGTGCATAGGTCCGAGCCCAGGATCCAAACCAGTGAACCCCAGGGTGCCGAAGTGGAGAGCATGAACTTAACTGCTGCGCCACTGGGCAGCCCTCTTTTTTTTTTTTAAAATGGGACTAAAACATAAGCTATGTCCATGTGGTTCCACTGAATCACTTGCTTTTCAGATGATTAGATTTTAACAGTTGAGTGATGGAGCCTATTGTGATCGCCTCAAACCCTAAATTAAGTTTAAATGGAAGTTGATTAAGTGGTGCTGAAGCCACATGACATTAGCAACATTACCCAGTTCTGAACTAGTATACAGTATGTCTTCTTCCCTTAGCAAGGGTGTGGCTAGGGCTGTGACTGGTTAACTCAGGTGGTTAGAGCACGATGCCAAGAAATGGTTTAGCTTGGTCCTATAACCATGTGCTGGACCCCCACCCACCCAACACCTCACAAATATGGATGGTGGCTCACAAGGTGGAACCAGCTGAACAAATAGGAGTAACTCAGTGCAGCCCTTCCCCGCTTCTGCACGACCAGGTTCCTGCTGGGGCAGGGCTGCCCCTTGAAATGACAAGCACAGCACAGGAGCTAGGCAAGGCCCCTGCGGAGACAGTCTTGTCATAAGGGAGATTTTCCCTTGGCCACGATTAGTTGAATTAGTCATCTTAGAGGTTGTAACAAACTTGCTGCAGATGGTACAGATGCTGCTTGTATTGAGAGCAGCAAGGGATTTCTTTTTGTGTACAAATCCATGGATTTCTTTTTCATTTTTTTCAATGTCTCATGAAAACATAAAGTATGCACACAGGGCTAAAATGCCCCTCAGAGCACTTTCTTATATATTTTTATTGGTTCCATCCTTTCTTACTTTGTGACTTAACTATTCTGAGTCTCAGTTTACTCATCTATAAAATGGGGGAAATAATTGTACCCACATTACAGGCTTGCTGGGAGAATCCAGTGCAATGAATGGATATATATAATCTCTAAGCCTGGTGTCAGCACATAGCACATAGCAATGGCTCAGTACATCAGTAAATTGTAGCTATAAGATTATCAGGGGAATAGAACAAGGGGTTGGGGGAGTTTCTTCTCATGTGCTTCCTTGCTTTTGTCAATTTAGGGAAAATGTCATAAAATAGCATACATGTTGAAACTGAAAACTACTCCAAAAGGGTCTATTTGTAAATCCATAAAAATATTAACTTCTGTGCAGTTTATACTGGCAGATCCCCAACAGTTCAGAATTAACACCTGGTGTTTAGTGGGTGGAAAATAGGTTTTTCTGTCATTGTGGATATCCAAAATGGAAAAATGTGGGGAAACATTTAAAAATTAAATGCCTTGTCTGATTTCAGCTGCTGGTGTAGGGTTGGACCTTAGACTGGCTATATATAAATATTTTAAAAAAGTCTTTAATGACGTTTAGTCCCTGTGTCCCCTATTGCTTACCCAGAGTAGAGTAAATGTTTTGTTGTTGTTATACTTGAACGTTACCTCATCCTATTGCAGGAGTGGGACCTTGAAACCATCTAGCAGTAGTCTAAGAAGCAATCCTTTCTTTCCTGTCTGCGTGACATTAGTGGTAAATGGAGGGAGGGAATCCTGCTGTTCCTCTGACCTTCACAGATCCAACTGGAACTAACCAGCTAATTTCTGGACCAAAATAGATATAAAGCAAGTTCAGCCAATCTGGGCCTCAGTTTCATACCAGAGACACTAAACAGGCTAGTGAGGCTTGCACAGAGTACTAGAAGATGAGTGTCATCATGACTTTGTATTGGAAAAAGTGCTTTGCAGATAGAAAAGGGGAATTTATTCTCCATTTTGTATGTATAAATGATTGGGATTAGTCCTAGGCAAATGGCTTGTACTGTAATCTACTTTTCCTTGTTCTCCTCACACCCTCTCCACGTTAGGGGATTCTCCCTTGCTTTGTCCCAGTTGGGCACCAGTACCCTTAGTTTTTTCCCACATCATCATCATCTCTAAACTTGGTCTCAGACCTCTCATTTCCACCAAGGTATAAAAGACTGCTAACAGCTGAAAGTGTTGCACTCCCTCCGAATAACATTTCCATTTTAGTAGGGGACCAATCTCAAGTGCATGGAAGAAAGGTCTGGGATGGAATTTTCAATATCATTCAGTTTGAGGCTAAGAAGGGTGTGGTGCAGTGGAGGGTGTTCATGGTTATATCTAATCTTCCATTCGCTCTGAAATCATAACCCTTAGGCAGTGCCTTCTCTACTAATCCCTAGAGGCCTCTTTCAACTCCTTCCTGTGTAATTCCCAGTGCTACAGCATTGGCTTGCAGTGAGAAGAACAGTGTCTATGGGTAAACTGTACTGTATTGGGGTTTTCTAAAGAGGGAACTGTGTATAGTGCTGGCAACTTCCCTCAAGCAGATACAATGACTCTGTTAGTGCACGTTTCATGTTCTGATCAGTGTGTTTGTTCTCAAATTCAGTCAAGTAGCAGAGTACGAGTGAATAATGCCAGTGTTGCCACTTATAGGCAGTCGATTCACCTGGAAAAGGAGCAACAGAAAAAGAAAGGAAGAGGGTTTTATCACAGCTTTTGCTCTAGTGCTTTATTCTGCTAAAATTTACTTCTGCTTATAATTTTAGACTCTACACATCTCCACCACACCTACCCAACATGAACACACATATTCACATTCCCATTAGGAATTATGAGCTAAAAACAATTGAATTTTTTGCTTTGTTACCATTTTGGCATACACTGACACTTTCCCATTGATCAGTTCTAAGGGAGATTCTATAAGTCTGGAATCCCCTGGGATGCTAGATCCTCTCTCCAGGGTCTGTTGCATCTTGTTCACCCAGGCTTTGGCAAATGAAAACAAAATGCCTATCAATTTATTTCTGGAAAACTTTGAATTTTACATTGTAGCATTGAGAAACATTTGGATCGTAGTGTCATTTAACTTGAGTAATAGTAATATTGGCATTACCCCTTTACTAAAAGTATATTAGTATCTAATTTTTGGATGTGATTGGGCTCTTCAGTTGTTTTAATGACTAAAAACATTCATTGATTAAATGAATAAGCAGAGTTGTGAATCCCAGAATAGGCAGACTTCTGTAGGCTCACATTTGCATATGTTATCTATATTGACACCTTCCCTAAATTTGAAAAAAAAAAAATACTATATATTTTCATTCTAGAGACAGATTTTATGTTTTCAAGAATATGTGCACAAAGAAGATAAAATTTTGTCTTGACGTGGCTCCCAGAAAACAGCAGATTAGAAATGGAACAAATGGCTCTACCTAATGGGAAGACAGATCCTTCACAATCTTAGGCCCATTACCAATCATGTCCTACATGAAAAGGTACATTTTATGCCCATCACCACATTTGGGAAAAAAAGATGCAAACTTCTGGACATCCTGGAATGAAATGTTTTTAGAAGGTGCATTTCCACCCAGAAGGTGGGCATCCGCTTGCCTAGATATATCTATATAGACATATATATGTACATCATTGGCTGGCAGATTAATAGATTGTGCCAGTGCTTAAGAATACTTCTAGTTTCAAATATAAATATATGAGACTAGAAGAAGTCTCAATACATTTTAATACATTGAATACATTTTAAAATTAACAATTAAATTGTATTTAAAACAACAACTGGTATCCTCACTAGGGACACTGGCATATCAGAATGCTGGTTGAGACTGCAAAGTGGAATATTGTATTTATTTAATGTTTTGTTGCTGACAGTTGAGTAGCATCAGGAAGGCCAGAGGTCATGTTGGGAAAGTCACCTAAGGTCAGGAAGAACTTATAGGCTCAGGCAAAGGTTCAAATCCACGAAGACGAGCTGAGGGGGCAAGGTCAAACAGCAGAAATCAGGAGCTGAGGCTGTCGGCAAAAGGCGGACCTGGGCAACATACAGTTGGAATGCCAGGGAGTTGGGATCCAGTGGGTGGCAGCAGGGAGGGCAGGGAGCAGAGAGAAAGGTAGTCCTGACAGTGCCCCTACTGAGTACAGTGAATAAACTGTACAGATGAAAACATGTTACAAAACCTCCACTTCCTTCTTTGTGGAGTGTTAAGGACATTCTGTAGGTGATGGGCACTAACTGTAAGCCATGCACACGAGTTTCCTGTAACCGGGCTGAGAGTATTGATATGTTCAGGTCAGAAGAGGGTCTGAGTGTGCACCGTGCATTTCCTGGTGGGCCCTGCCTTCTCAGCTTGGCTCTCATTTCCCATTACTGCTTGGCTCTGACTCACTGAGAGCCCGCCACATGTCATTAGGCAGCTCAGCTGCTGCTTTCATTTCTCCCAAAGGTATACAGAGGTTTGGGTCTCGGCTTTTACATTTTTTTCTCCTGAGAGCTGGAGGAAGTGGCCTTTTGATAGCTTGGTTTGTTGTCGTGAATACTTACAGTGTCTTACAGTTTCAATTTCTTTTCTCATAGGTGTTTGATCCCGATGACCTTTATTCAGGGGTCAATTTCTCCAAGGTTCTGAGCACTCTTTTAGCTGTCAACAAAGCAACAGAAGGTAAGCAGGGCTTGTGATTTATGAGTTCTGGGTGTCATGGTGGGATGCGTGTGTTTCTGATTTCGCTAGGAGCCGACTATGGCCAGGATTGTTCGATTGGTGCAAATTTCTCCCCTCCCCCCAAATAAACCCCAATGGTGTCAAATGCTTTAATTTTTCATGGTTTAGGATTTAAACATATCTGTTACAGGTGTTATTATAATGTCCTTAATATAATGTTAAGAACCGAGGAACTATTTCATTCAAAGCTATTGAATAGGCAATTGAGTACAGCAAGACAGAAAATTAAAAAAAGACCAGTTCCCTTTTTCATAAAGTTTACAAAATAGAGCCGTTACTTCCCTTTCCCCACCAGAGACATATTTTTCTCATAGTTTTCTGTATGTCTTTGTCCATGTAAAGGAAACCCTCAGTATCCTTGCACTGGAAATGAAACCTCAGGTTCATAGTGAGTGAAAAGAATGTCTTTTATTTAAATGTTTAATACCCATCACATTGGAGGTATTAAATATCAATCCTAGTAAATACGAAGAAAACAATGATAACCTTGGAGTCTAACTTCACTCCTTCTGTGATAGAGTATCTTACCTATAGCTGGGCAGTAATAACCATAGTTAAAATGCTTTGAGCCCTTACCGTGGTCTAGGCTATCCTAAGAGCCATAGGTGGTCTCATTCAATCTTCAAAACCACCCTGGCTGTAGGTATTATTATTGGGTCCGTATTAAGGATGAGGAAAGTCAGACCACAGTTGCCCAACTAGAAAGTAAGTGGCAGGGCTGAAATTCAAACCCACATCTGACTGGCTCCAGAGCCCTTATGCCCAAACACGGGTCTTGCTGCTCAAACTGTTGGAGAGTCAACAGGCTGCGTGCCCAGCACTGCCAGGTGCCACAAAGGAAGTGTAAGATATGGTCCCCACCCTTGAGAAAATTACCGCCTATTTAGGGAGACTCAACGTGAAACAATTAGAGAACAAGAGCAGACAATATAATCAAGTGCCAAATAGGATGGAGCATCTAGGAAGCTATCAAGTAATTATAGTTTTAGTCAAAAGAGCTATATATAATAGCAATACGTGTAAAAATACTTCTCCGAAGTTGTTCTTTTGCTATTTGGAAAAAAATGCTTTTGAGCTATTGCAAGGCGTATAGCAGAAAGTACAGCTAATTCAAGTAACTATATTTAACACACATGACAACTATCCAGTTCTGGGCAGGGAGGATCGTATAATTCTAACATTATGCCATACAAATTATACGTTCCTTTGCCAAACTCTCCTAGCAAGTTTTACAGTCTCTTTCCTTGCCACAGATATTTATAAAACACAAGGAGGTGAAAGTTAAAACCCACAGCATCAAGGAAATTACTTGGATACTGAGCTCGTCGCCTAGGGAATGTTTGGGCTTTAGACTTTTGCAGTTTATATCTTTTAAAAATAAATGGAGAGGAAAAGAACCCTCATTTGAATTTGTCAAGAAGCCAGCTCCTCTCTTTAGTACACTCTCAGCATAGTGAAAACATCCAGCTCAGCGCTGGTCTGATCGAATTACACAAGGTTTCAAGGAAGAGAAGACTCTTGAGTTTGATTTTTTTGAAAATTATTCTAGTATCAAGAGTGCATCTTTCCCAGACACACATTCTCTCTCTCATTCTCATTCTACCCCCCCACCCCCGCCCCCCCAGGCTCAGGGGAGATTTTACATCATATATGCCACACATACTGTTAACATGTGAGGAAGAAAAGAACCACTCAGTTATGGGCCAAAAAACAAAGAGAGAAATTTGAAATATTTCAAAGTAATAAGAGCCACAAACAGCTGTTTGGTACCCAATATAGTTCTGCCTTGGATAACAGGGCATACTGTTGCAACTGGTTCAGGAGGCAAGGGTTGTAGGCAAATGGGTTAAGAGAAAATGTGGTTCTGTCGCTGTTTTTCATTCTACTGGAGAGCAATGGCCAGTAAGGTTAAGAAAAAGAAGTTGGCCACCAAAAAGGGAGGGGGAATGAACTACACTTGGCATGTTCATGATGATAACAGTTAGAATTATGGCCAGGTTGCCTTTGATAATGCCCCACGAAAGATAATGTTACGTTGTAGATGTTTTTCCGACATGAGTGGTTCCCTTTACCATGCCTTTTCCTCTTTTCACAGATCAGCTGTCAGAAAGACCATGTGGACGTTCCTCTTCTCTTAGTGCTGCTAATAGTTCTCAGACAAACCCACAGGGAGCAGTTTCTAGCACAGCTCCAGGGCTGCAAAGGCAGTCAAAGCCAGTGGTAAGTATAGTCCTCAATTCCCCTTGCCTGTTTTAAAATCCATAAAATTAGATCAATATCCTGGTTGCGTCTCTATATGTGGTGAGATAGTCATCCTGTTTGTTGGGGACCGAGAAAACTAATTTTAAACCTAGCGCCAATTCAGGCTGGCCCGCTGAAGCAGATCAAAGGCTTGTGGGGCAGAGAGTCAGAAAATGGGGTTGAAGCCCCAAAGTCCTGTCCCTTCCTAGAATTGAGCAAGTTGTTTAACTGAGAATGCCATGCAAACGTAAGTCATTGTCACTACTTCCTGATGGCAGTTTGCTGTTATTTCCCCTATCCCTCTGTTTATTAGGAGAACTAAGTAGGCAATCAATATAGATTACTTGCTATCATCATCATTATTGTCATTTTATTTTTCTCTTTGCATTATTATTGAGCCTATGATGAGCTCCTACATTGGAATAGCCCAGTTATCTTTGCATTTTGGTCTTAATGGGAGCTTTTATTTGGGAGGAACCGCCCCCATCTTCTGCTCTTTTGAGACTTTTTTCCTTGTCAAAAGCCACCCACTTGCTTTAAGCCATCATGAGCTATTACTTCCAAAGCACTTGAATTACTTCCAAAGCACTTAACCTTTGAGATCACAGATCCCTTTGAGAAGCTGATGAACACTGCAGTTGCACACCCCTTGGACCCTCTCAAATTGTATGCAAAATATCCTGTGTATGAACTTATGAGTATGTGTTTTACGTAAATCTCCATTGTGCTCAACAGCTTCTCAAATGGGCCTGTGACAGGTTAAGAACTCCTGATTTAGGTAACTATGGGGTATTTGATCTTTGCATATGACTAAGTCTTAGCCAATTTAAGATATTCTTAGTAACTGGGAGGTGGGAGGCAGATTTTATGAGAGTAGGTTAGTAGCTAATCTTGGTCATATAGTTATGTAAGACTATGTCTGTGTGTTGGGTAGAGGCAGGAGAGAAGAGTTTACCATTCTACTTTGTTTTCTGGCTCATTTAAATAAGTATCTTTAGATAATTGGTGGGGGGAGAGGGAAATGAAAGTTTTGACCCCCTCTAAAATTCACATTCTCACAAATGCAGAAGTTTGCATACAGTTTCGAAGGGTTTATTAATCCCCCCTGAGGCCTATCCATGTTACACCCGCTCCTAAATTAAAAACTCAAGACTGAGATGGATCTGGGGTTTTATCCTTGGTCACTTCACTTTATTTGCCTAAATTCATATCATTTCTGCCCCTGCCTCATTTAGATGAGCACTTAATCTGGTGTGACTTTTGTTTCTCTAGGAGATGACGGAAAATGGAAGTCACCAGTTGATAGTAAAGGCAAGATTCAACTTTAAGCAGACTAATGAAGATGAATTGTCAGTCTGTAAAGGGGACATCATTTATGTCACTAGAGTTGAAGAAGGAGGCTGGTGGGAAGGCACATTAAATGGGAGAACAGGCTGGTTCCCTAGTAATTATGTCCGAGAAATTAAATCCAGTGGTAAGTGAATCTTTTAACAGCTGTTTTGAATGTGACTTTTGTACTTTCTTGGTATTCTTGCTGAAAATCTTGTAGTTTGAATTGGTTAACAGAAACTGTTTGTACCTGTACGTGTATGTCAAAAATAAGACTAGAACAGAACTGGGAAAAATCTGTGATTAGATATTTTGAAACGAAGTTGTATTTAGATTACATCGAGGCAGCAAAAAACTAAAAAAGCAAAAGAATTCAAAGCTCAGACAACTGTTCCACCTTAACTATGTCTCCTTCTGTTTACTAATTCTAGCCCATGTAATAGAGTACATAGTCCTTCCTGCTACTCTAAGAATCACCATGGCAGAGTACAATCATAAGAGAGGCCATGTGCTAACTTCCTTTTTTTAGCCCTAAGCTCTTTAAGCAGACCTAAGTCTAAATGCCTCAGAGATGTGTACAAGAAATAAAAGTCATAGGACTGCAGGAAGCTGTCTGGCTGCTTTGATTCTGAATAAGATTGCCTATATCTCATTGCATGCTGCAAACTGCTTATCCTTTTTCATAATGATATCCAGAGAATGAAATCTAATCGCTCTTCCGTAGTCTTTTTAGAGCTTTCTTAGTTAACTTACTTGCCTTTTATTATTTAAGAAAGTAGGACTCGCTTATATTACCAAAAAGCCCCTGATATATAAAATGATGTTCAGTTGTTCACATTATTATATCTCTTCACTTTTCAAAAATATTTAACCAAGGGCTCCTTTGGGTACTTAATTCTTCGGTGCTTTTTTTTTTTTTTTTTTGGTGAGGAAGACTGGCCCTGGGCTAACATCCATGGCCCTCTTCCTCCACTTTATGTGGGACGCCACCACAGCATGGCTTGCCAAGCAGTGCGTCGATGTGCGCCCGGGATCCAAACCAGCGAACCCTGGGCCGCCGCAGTGGAGTGTGCGCACTTAACTGCTTGTGCCACCAGGCCGGCCCCTCTCCTGTATTCTCTTTGGTTTAGAACTCAGTTAAGGACTCCCATGGCAAGCTCTGGCTCGGGTTTGAACACCTAAGTAACCCCTAGAAGTATCTTATCCAACTGTCAAGGATAGGTCTGGATAGCTGGGGCCAGGAAGCCTGCTGGTTAGGGAAGGCCTAGGACTAGAAGTATACAGAACATCTCTTACCAGGTTGATTAAAGCAGCTTCCTAACGGGCATCCCTGCTCCTGTCCTTGTCACTCCTATAATCTAATGTAAACTCAGTAGCCAGAGTGATTTTTTTCAAAATGTAACTTTGGTAGTTGCTTCGCATCTCAAAAAAAGTAAGAGCCAAGATCATCCCAGTAGCCTAAGGCCCTACAGGATTTGGCCTTCTGTTGCCCCTCTGATCTCCTCTCTGACCTCTCTCCCCCTCACTTACTCCACTTCAGCCACACTGGCCTCCTGGTTGCCCGTGCCACACGGGCTCCTGCCTCACTTGCTGTCCCTCTGCCTGGAACGCTCTCCCCAGATATCAGCATGACTGCTTCCCTTACTGCCTTCAAGTCTTTGCTCACTTGCCAGCTTCACAGTAGGGCTTTCCCTGGTCACCCAGGAGCAAATTGACCCCTGTCCCCACTGCTCCAACCCCCTTCCCTGCTTTATATTTTTGTTTACCATTTCTTTCCATCTAACATAGTATACATTTACTTATTTATTTCATTCACTGTCTGTGTCATACCATTAGAATGTAACTGGGCACGAGGGCAGAGATTTTCTTTCTGTTTTGGTTAGGTTCAGTAAATATTTATAAAATGAATGAATATTGTGGGGCACGTCATTAAATTTTGTTCAGCTTGTTCATTGAGCATCACCTAGGTACTCGGTGGGGAGGGGGCTATAATAATCTGTCCTCATGGACCCTGTCCCCGAGGACCTTATACTCTAGTAGTCAAGATAAGTGTGTATACAACCAACTGTGACAGGATGAGACGGAGTAACACAGACAAAACTCTAAGTAAGATGCTGTTGGAGGGGTAAAGAAATGATTTGATTAACAATGACCTAAGAAGGGAAAAAAGCACTTGAATTGGGTCTTAAAGGATGGAAAGAATTTTCTGACTGGTAGAAGAAGGTTAGAGGGAGTTAGTAAGTTAAAGCATAGAAGGAGGAAAGCATGGAGTGAATGGTAGGATGATTTAGGCTGAGGGTCAGGTGAGTGAAGAGGAGTGGGACCTTGAGCTGGAGCTACGTAAAGAAGGGTAGCAATGAAAAGCTTTAAGCAGACGATAGCATGTGGTTGAGAAAGATCTTTCTAGTGGTAGTGTGGAGGCTGGATTTCAGGGAAGTGGTGGGGATAACCAACGAGGATGTGGGCAAACAAGTAGAGACTACTGCTGAGGTCCAGGCAGTACAGATAGTGGTGTGGGCTACTTTGGTGAGAGTGGAGAGGAAGAGAAAGTGGATGGATGCAGTAGATACTGTTAAAAGGGAATCAAGAAAACTTGCTCACGATTAGTGATGGAGAGGGGAAGAGGTGAGGATAACTCCAAGTCTAGGGGTCCAGCTTAATGGTGAGCTCCTTAAGGGCATGCAGCATCACCCAGGAAGCCAGCCAGTGAAGATTTATTTGCCACGACTAGGATATCAGTCCCTGCCCTGCGCACTGGTGAGGCAGCGAAACCTAAGACACGACTCTTGCCCTCATGATGTTCATAGTTTAGTGAGGGGGAGATATCATTAGAATGTAGTGTGATACATTTAGTGATAGAGCTAAATACAGGATGCTATGGAGAGTGGTGAGCAGAAGAGGGGTGCCTAACTCGTCCTGGCAGGGAGGTCAAGGGGGACTTACTCATCTTTGTATACCTTTCTGTCTCCATGGTGCCTAACACAGTGCTTTAGACATAGAAAATGTTGGATACGTGCTGAACTCCATTAATAGAGAAGACAGGAGGAGGAGGTTGTATGTGTGTGTGTGTGTGAGCACTTTTGTGTTGGAGTGATGACTGGTACTGAGGATGATGAGTTGTTTTGGACATGTTGAGTGGAGGTGCCAGCAAGTCATACTTCTGAAGATTTCCAGCAGGTAGTTGGGAGTATGGATTTGGAGCATGGGAGAGAGATAAGAACTGGGGATGAAACCGACAACTGACAGTATGAAGTGGTGGATGATGAAGTGTGAAATATATAACAGATCATCAGTGGACAGAGAGTGCAGTGTGGCTGGAGAGGTTGGGAGAGGCTTCACGGAGGAGGTAGGGCTTGAGCCGAACCCTCAGATATGTAGGCTGTGAATAGGCCCAGAAGAGATGGAAGGATAATCTAAGTAGTAGTGATTGATTGGTCAGGCAGAACAAAAACCACAAAGAATCTGTGGTAGGATTGAGCAGAGTGAGCTTGGGAGACAGTGGAAGAGATTAGCTTGGTGTAATGAAAATCTTTTGTTGGGAAAGCAGGTGTCAAGTCTTTGTTGACTCGAATTCTTTCCCACCCCAAGTCTTGCTGCCTCCATAAAATCGTAAGTAGGCCAAAACCTATCTAGGATGCTGCTGAGGTACATTATAAATTCAATGCTGTGCTCTTTGATGTTTCGTCTGGAAAATACTTGTCAATTTTTTATTTCTTTCCATGAAGTCTATACTGATATGCAAGCTTAGGAAAGAAGATTTATCTTTAAGGAGTTAAAAAAAATGATTCATATATTAAATGCATATCTCGTAGAAACAAACCTTCAATTTAGTTTTAAACCCCACTGCCATACAACCTCTTGGGTCATTTATGAAGTTGAATCAGGCATGGAACTAAAGATCTCCATCTCTATCTGCTTACTATTGGGTGAAATGTGTAACACTGAGGTCACTTGAATAGTCAGTAATTCTGACAAATTTATTCATGGTAGACTGGAGTACCTTTCAGGCTGATAACTACACATTATTTGGAATGTCTTAGAAACAAAAGGAAGCAACCCCAGCCCCATACAACCCTCATTTTGCAGATTGCTGTGCCATGGGAGTGCTGTGCCATGGGAGTGCTGTGCATAGTTTTTTTCCCTTGAGCCTGTCATTGACAAGAGCACTTCGTGTTCTGGTAAATTTCCCCTTGGGGAGTGGCATTTTAAGTTTTAGATTCCACTGTAGTTTTTGTCTAGAGATAATTATGGCTGAAGCCCTGGGGACAGCTTCTTCCCTCTCTTCAGGAGGAGGCTAATTTCAGAAGACTTATAGAACCACCAATCTAATACTTTAGAAAGTTGAGAAATAGAATATTTGAGTATAAAACACTCACATACATAAATCTCCTTTCAACATGATCTTGAAGCTGAAGGTAGGGTAGATTTTTGTGACCATGATGATAAAAGCCTCTCACTAAGGATGATGGAAGCTGGACACGTGACATTATGAAGCCATTGTTACCAGTCCTGCTTGTCTACCTCTTGATTTATCGTTACATGAGCAAAATAAACTCTATGTTGAGCAAAAGTATTATTTTCAAAGATCTTATTTCACGAAAAATACTTATATGAATAACTTAGTCATTATATAAACTACAGAACATATATTAAGGGACTTTCCTCCTTTGTTTCATTTGAGTCAGATACATTATAAATAAGAAAATTAGCTGGGCCGGCCCCGTGGCTTAGCGGTTAAGTGC